GGCTCAGGCAATCCACTCACCTCAGCCTCCCAAAGGCGCGGGATTACAGGCTGAGCCACCGAGCCCGGCTTCGTTTTTCAACTCTCTTCTTCCAAATTCCTTTTACCTCTTGCTGGACTCATTCCTTTGCTGCTTCTCTGAGAGCTCACCTGTGAATAGTAACTTGCCGAGTCTTGCTCACCTAAAAGTGTATTTTTTTTTCCCACCCTCACAACTGGAATCCAGAATCCTGGCTTCTCAGCCCTTTCTCTTGCAGACTTAGAAGTCATTGCTCCTCTTCTCCCCGGACTTCTGGGTCCCTGGTGAGAAGTCTGCCACTGGCTGATTCTGCCTCCCTCCTAGGGAGTCTTAATCACTACTTGTAATCTTCCCACAGAGTCACTTACTGGCAGTGTGACCTTGAGCCAGCAAGTCATCTCTCAGTTTGCTCATCTCTAAAATGGGTAATACCAACAGTACAATTTTTTTTCTCTTTTTGAGTCAGGGTCTCACTGTGTCACCCAGGCTGGAGCGCAGTGGCACGATCACGGCTTACTGCAGACTTGACCTCCTGGGCTCAGGTGATCCTCCCACCTTAGCCTACCAAGTAGCTGGTACTACAGGCACAGGCCACCATGGCTGGCTCATTTTTTTTTCCTTGTAAAGATGAGGTCTCGCTATGTTGTCCAGGCTGGTCTCAAACCCCTGACCTCAAGCGATCCTCCTGCCTTCACCTCCCAAAGTTCTGGGATTACAGGCGCGAGCCACCACGCCCAGCAGTACAATTGTTAAGAGGCTAACATGAGTCAGTGTGTGAAGAGCTTAGAACTGTACACAGGAGAGGATATAATAGGGTCTGTCAAATAAATAGCACTTGACCAAGAGCTGGACAATCAGGGGGTAGAGCTGCTGTGGCCGCCACTGCATCACAGTGTCCCTGCGCAGGCCTGCGGCACTTGGACAAGGATATTGAACCACGTGTCATGGGAATGAACAAAAAACAGAACTCGATAGCTCAGCCTGTAATCCCAGCACTTTGGGAGTAGATTGCCTGAGCCTGTGGGTTTGACACCAGCCTGGGCAACTTGGCGCGAGACCTTGTCTCTACAATAAATCAAAAATTAGCTGGGCATGGCAGCTTGCACCTGTAGTTCTGCCTACTTGGAAGGCTGAGGTGGAAGGATCGCCTGAGCCCAGCAGATCAACGCTGGGGTGGCCATGAGTGTGCCACCACACTCCAGCCTGGGCAACAGAATGAGACTCCAACTCAAAAAAAACAAAAAACAAAACACGGAAGCTGAGTCCTAAGGCAGGCCACGTCACCACTGTGAGCCTCAGTTTCCCCAGCTGTTGTGAGGATTCTGTGAGACCTCAGAGTCCTGTCTCGAGGTGGAATCAGTCACTCACTCCTCAAACAATGACTAAGTCTTGAGCACCTGTTATGGACCAAGCACCGTGCTGGGCACCGAGGACACACAGCTGTGCGCAAGTCAGGCCAGGTTCCCACCCTGGGGAGTGACCTTCTCTTGGGGAAGACAGACAGTAAGGAAGAAGACACACAAATAAGAATGTGGCAGATAGGCTGGGTGTGGTGGCTCACGGCTGTAATCCCAGCACTTTGGGAGGCGGAGGTGAGAGGATTGCCTGAGCCCATGGGTTCGAGACCAGACTGGGCAACTTGGCGAGACCTTGTCCCTACAATAAAGAAAAAAAAAATCGGCCGGGTGTGGTGGCACGTGCCTGTGGTTCCAGCTACTTGGAAGGCCGAGGCAGAAGGATCGCCGGAGCCCAGCAGGTCGAGGCTGCGGCGGCCATGAGCGTGCCGCTGCACTCCAGCCTGGCCACAGAGTGAGACACCAACTCAAAAAAAAACAACAAAAAAAGAGAGAGAGTTGCAGACAGCCACACATGGAGAAAAGCTGCGCTGTGACGCAGGTGACAGGGGAGGGGAGCCGCCATCCGTCAGCCCCAGGAAGGGGGGGCTCTATAAATACGAAATATGACCTTCCCCTAAAAACACAGGGCTCGCTTACCATAGAGGGAGGCCCAAAGGGACCCTCTCCCTAGACGTTATTAGCCCGTTCGACGGATGAGGGGACTGAGGCCCCAGCCATTCAGAAAAGGACCGTGGAGCCGAGTCTTTGAATCCTGGGCGGAGAGCGTTCCTAGAAGGAGAGCCCCGGGGTACGAGGGCGTGACTCAGTCTCCCTTTGGGGAATGGAGTGGCCAGACCTAACCCGGCAGCTCCTGACTTTTCCGCCAGAGGGCGGTGGTGACCCACGAGATAATTGGGCGATGGGGTGGGGACTCCGGGGAGGCCGCACCAGAACTCGCACGGGCCGGGACCCCCGAGAGGGCGGCGGG